TCGCCCGAAAGGTGGCGAGAGCCGAAACCGGTGTGGCTCAGTGGATGGAGCATCGGCCTGCGGACGGAAGGGTCCCAGGTTCCATTCTGGTCAAGGGAATGTGCCTTGGTGGCGGGCACATCCCCAGTAGGGGGTGTGCAGGAGGCGTCTGATCGATGATTCTCTCTCATCGATATTTCTAGCTCTCTCTCCCTCTCTCTTCCTCTCTGTAAAAAATCAATTAAAAAAAAAAAAAGAACGGAAAGAAAGAAAGGTGGCGAGATCCAACTGAGGCGTGCTGTTGATGAGAAAAGGGCACACCGGGTCCCAAAAGCGAATTGTGCAAAAAAGTAAGGAAGCAAACGATCGCTTCCCATGTTTCCCATTTTTCCTCAGCCAGTTTGGCTCCGTGGATAGAGTGTCAGTCAGCCTGCAGACTGAAAGGTCCCAGGGTTGAATCCCGTCAAGGGCACGTGCCCAAATTGTGGGCTGGATCCCCAGTAGGGGGCGTGCAGGAGGCAGCCAGTCAATGGCTCATCATTGATGTTTTTCTCTCTCTTCCTCTCTGAAATCAATAAATATATATAATATATATATTTATATATTTATTTATACACACACATATATTTGTGCAAAAGGCTTGGCCCAGCTTTATCCAGAAGGTCATCGGAAGGTCATCTGGGCATTCGTCCCACTGTTCGGCTGTCAGGTCTAATTAGCATATTATGCTTTTATTATTATTATAGATATTTTTAAATGGATTAAGTTTTTTCCTGTTTTGATTTTGCATGGAATGAGTTAATGAAATGTTAAAAATAAACTTTTTTTTTTGAGATTTTCATTTATTTTTTTATTTTCTTAACTTGAACCTTTCAGTTGCAGTTTGCCTTCAATGTCATCTTGCATTCATTTTAGATGTACGACATAGTGGTTAGACAATCGTGTGCTTAATGCCGTGACCCCCCCTCCCCCCCCCACCCTCCTGATATTTCCAGTTCCCAGCTGGAATCATCCATAGTCATTACAATTCTAGAGGCCCGGTGCCGGAAAATGCATGCACTGGAGGGGGGTGGGGGCCCATCAGCTCTGCCTGCCCCCTCTCACAGTCCAGGGGTCCTCTGCAGGATGGCAACCTGGTGATCAGGGAAAGGTGATGCCCCATCACACCTCTGCTGCTGCCACTGCCGGCAGCACAAGCATCAGCCAGCCCTGGTTACCTGAGCCTTGGGCAGCCCTGGGTTACTGGAGGGATGAGAGGACTAGAGGACTCCAGAGGCAGGTGCATGGAGCGACCAGGCCCACCTGGGGGCTGACCCAGTGAGCCTTGAGCCTGCCCACCTCAGCGAATGTCACCATCTTGTGGCTGTGAGTGCCACCGTCTTTGAGGGTGTGACGGTCAATTAGCATATTCCCTCCTTATTGGCTGTGAGCACCGCCATCTTTGTGACAGCAGGAGGGTCAATTAGCATATTCCCACTTTATTAGATAGGATACTTTGTTATGCTGTTCTTTTACATCCCCATGAGGAGGACGAGGTGAAAAAGGTGAAGGGCCCTGGCCGGTGTGGCTCAGTGGATAGGGCGTCAGCCTGCGGACTGAAGGGTCCCAGGTTCCATTCCGATCAAGGACCTACTATGATGCCCAGGTGGCAGGCTTGATCCCCAGTAGGGGGCATGCGGGAGGCAGCCGGTCAATAACTCATCATTGATGTTTCTATCTCTCCCTCCCTTTCTCTTTGAAATCAATAAAAAATATATATATATTTTTTTAAAAGGTGAAGGGATTGAGAAGTACAGCTGGATAGTAACTCTTGCTTCTTTTTACTTTTTTAATATTTTATTGATTTTTTTTATTTTTTTTTATTTTTTTTTTTTTTTTACAGAGAGGAAAGGAGAGGGACAGAGAGTTAGAAACATCAATAATGAGAGAGAAACATCCATCACCTGCCTCCTGCACCCTCCCCCCCACTGGAGATGTGCCCACAACCAGGGTGCATGCCCTTGACCCGATCGAACCTGGGACCTTTCGTTCCGCAGGCCGACGCTCTACTAACTGAGCCAATTCCTAATGATTTTTAGAGGGAGTGGAAGGGAAGGAGGGAAGGGGAGAAAGAGAGAGAGAGAGAGAGAAACGTCAATGGGAGACACATCGGATTGGTTGCTTTCTGAGCACACCCCCACCTGGGCGGGGGATCGAACCTGCAATTCAGGTAAGTACATGCGTGCCCTTGACCAGGAGTCGAACCCACGACCCTTTGATGTGCAGGTGGGCACTCTAACCACCGAGGCGCCGGGCCGGGGCCCAACAACCTTTTTTTTTTTTTAATTGATTTTAGAGAAAGAGAGAGAGGCAGGGAGAGACACAGAGACATCCCTTTGCTGTTCCCCTTATCGATGCATTCACTGGTTCATTCTTGGATGTGCCCTGACCCCTGGGCTCCAACCGCAACCTTCGTGGGGTGTGGGGTGGGGGGTTGGGGAGGGTACGCCCTAACCACTGAGCAAACCGGCCGGGGCTCTGGACAATACGGTTTCGTTCAAGAAAAAGAAAAAAAGAAAGAAAAAAAAAGGCAGCGCCAGGCCCCAGCTGTGCAGAGACAGACGTTCGTTACTGCCATCCGCTGACCTCACTGCCCAAGGACCATCCTGAAAGCACCCGCCCCAACTCTCGTTTTCCTTCTCACTGCCCCCCATCCCCATCCCCATCCCACCACCCCCCCTCCCCGTCCCGGTGATCACAGCACCTACACGCATTTCCCTCCTCGCAGCCCCTTGCATTGTCTCTCCCTGTGTGCGTTCAGTTATCCCCCCACCCCGGTCCCCAAACCCTCCTGCGCCCCGCCCCCCCAGCTTCCCCACGCCCCCCTCCATCCCGGTCTCCCCCACTGGGGGGCCGGGAACCTGACGCCCCCTGGCAGGGCCCTCCCCACACACACTCTCTCCTCAGAGCAGGGGGAGCCTGGGGGCAGGGAAGCAGAGAGGTGGAGAGGCTCTGAGATGTAGGGGAAAGACAGACGCAGAGAAGAGGATGGAGAAAGAAGCAGAGGAACAAAGAGACAGGGAGACCGAGGGGGACGCAGAGAAACACAGAGACAGGCAGGCAGGCAGGCAGGCAGGCAGACTCGGTTGGCCCACCAGGGCCAGGGAGGGAAAGGGACCCACACCCCGGAGGTGGGCAGACTTGGAAGAGGGTCCGCAGGGCAGGTCCAGGGCCCTGATACGGGGCAGGGGGCAGAGGTGGGGGGACAGCCAGGGGCGGGCCGGGGGACTGTCCGGCAAGGACAAGAGAGCCATTGAGGGCCGCCCGCCCGCCTTCCTGGAAGCGAGGTTGGAAAAGGAGCTGCCGGGGGCATGGCACGGGGCACTGGGGGCGGACAAAGCCGGATTGTTCCGGGCCTCTCCCCGCAGCGCCCTGGCCTGCACCCGGCCTGCACCCCGGCCCCGGGCAGGGTCGAGTCCCAGCCCGGTGACACACGCTTTCTCACCGCTGGCTCACTCTCTTCCCAGCGCAGAGGGACCGGACGGCAGGTGGGTGAGTCACCCCTCCCCGCTGACCCCGCGCCACCCGGCTCGCGGGCAGGGCGGAGGACGGGCAGAGGCAGACCGAGAAGTCCAGGGGATGAGGAGGGCCAGGTCCCACCTTTCCCTCTCCCACACCCAGGGGTCAGCCCCCAGCCCCTCCTCCCTCAGACCCAGGGGTCCGGGCTCCCAGCCCCTCCTCCCTCAGACCCAGGGGTCCAGGCTCCCAGCCCCTCCTCCCTCGGACCCAGGGGTCCCAGCCCCTCCTCCCTCAGACCCAGAGTCCAGGCCCCCAGCCCCTCCTCCCTCGGACCCAGGGGTCCCAGCCCCTCCTCCCTCAGACCCAGAGTCCAGGCCCCCAGCCCCTCCTCCCTCAGACCCAGGGGTCCGGGCTCCCAGCCCCTCCTCCCTCAGACCCAGGGGTCCAGGCCCCCAGTCCCTCCTCCCTCAGACCCAGAGTCCAGGCCCCCAGCCCCTCCTCCCTCGGACCCAGGGGTCCGGGCCCCCAGCCCCTCCTCCCTCAGACCCAGGGTCCAGGCCCCCAGCCCCTGCTCCCTCAGACCCAGGGGTCCAGGCCCCCAGCCCCTGCTCCCTCAGACCCAGGGGTCCCAGCCCCTCCTCCCTCAGACCCAGGGGTCCAGGCCCCCAGCCCCTCCTCCCTCAGACCCAGGGGTCCGGGCTCCCAGCCCCTCCTCCCTCAGACCCAGGGGTCCAGGCCCCCAGCCCCTCCTCCCTCAGACCCAGAGTCCAGGCCCCCAGCCCCTCCTCCCTCAGACCCAGGGGTCCGGGCCCCTAGCCCCTCCTCCCTCAGACCCAGGGGTCCAGGCTCCCAGCCCCTCCTCCCTCAGACCCAGAGTCCAGGCCCCCAGCCCCTGCTCCCTCAGACCCAGGGGTCCAGGCCCCCAGCCCCTCCTCCCTCAGACCCAGGGGTCCAAGCCCCCAGTCCCTCCTCCCTCAGACCCAGGGGTCCAGGCCCCTCCTCCCTCAGACCCAGGGGTCCAGGCCCCCAGCCCCTCCTCCCTCAGACCCAGGGGTCCAGGCCCCCAGTCCCTCCTCCCTTAGACCCAGGGGTCCAGGCCCCTCCTCCCTCAGACCCAGGAGTCCGGGCTCCCAGGTGCACGTAGGGACAAGGTGCTCCTTCCTGGAAGCTGGGGTCAGGGGTCACCAGGGGCAGGCTGTGGGGGGTGGAAGAATGTGTGTGGGACGGCAGGTGAGGAGGAAGAGGGAGGGGCAGCCTGCAGCCTCGGGGACCTGGGAGATGTGGGTTAAAAGGAAGCACCCGGGCTGGTGGGGGGAAGGCCAGCCTCTTGCAGGGAGGCCCGAAGCCAGCAGCCCTTGACGCCCCGGCCCCACAGCCCCTACCTTGTCTGCTCTGTCCCGCCTGCCTCTTCCTCTTCCTCCTCCTGTCCGTCTGTCTGTCTGTCTCTCTCTCTCTCTCTCCCGTTCCCAGGCATCCTTGCTGCTTTGCCAGTTCCTTTACCCCCTTCAGCTCCCCGTGTCTCCGCCTCCGCCTGCCCCTGACATGCACTGCCCCTGGGCCGGGAGGCAGCGGCCCCCAGCAGGTAAGACCACGGCACCGCACCCCAGAATCTAAACGTGCTGGCCCTGGGCCCCAGGCGAGCCCAGAGCCGAGGTGCAGAGCAAGATGCTTGGGGAGGAAGGATGTCAGGGGCCCCTGGGGCCTGGCCTCCCTCTCTGTGCCTAGGCAGGCAGACAGACGCCACCGAGAGGAGGGGCAGAGAAAGACTGAACAGGGGGCCCCTGGGACCTGCAGGGGCCACGCTGGGGTCTCCCAGGCACCCATCTTCCAGGGATCCTCAGCTGGGGGCGGGGGTGTAGGAGATGAGAAATCCGGAGGCTAGATAAAGATCAGCAGTCAGGGGTCAGGGAGGCCTGGGGCAGGCCAGGCCGAGGGGAGGCGGCGGGGGCGGAGGAGGGAGGAGGGGGAGGGGCCTGCGTGGGGCCTGAGCAGGGGCCTGATGGAGCACTTGGCTTCCCCTCCCAGGACCGGCCATGAAGATGCTGATGGCAGCTCTGGTCCTCACGGCAGCAGCAGGTGGGAAAGGGGCGGTGGGGGATGGGGAAGTCTGGGGACAGGGTGGTGGTGGGGAGTGAGGGTTGCTGATAGGGCAGAGACTGGAACTGGAAAATGGGAGCCACACAGGTGTGGAGGGGCACGTGAGTTTGGAACGAGGCAGAAGCGGGATTCTAGGTGAGAGACGGGGGATGCAGACGGGGAGAAGGGGGTGGGAGGTGGCGGGCGGCCAAGATGGGGGAGAGAGAGGGAGGACGGGGCTGGCTTTGGGGGTGGTGCTGGCCACAGCTGGGCGTGGGGATGGAGACCATCTGGAGGATCAGGGCAGGACCGGGTGCACACCTGCTCTCCCTGACGCCGGCCCCCCTCCCCTTGTCCCTCCCGCAGTCCAGGCCGCGAGGAAGGACAAGGTGCTGTCTGGCGGGCCCTGCGAGCGGATGTCGCACCCCTACCAGGCCGCCCTCTACAACGCCGGCCGCCTGCTCTGCGGCGGGGTCCTCGTCCACCCGTCCTGGGTGCTCACGGCCGCGCACTGCCAGAAACCGTAAGTTGCCACACCGCGGGCGGGCGGGCGGGCGGGCGGACGGACGGACGGACGGAGGGTCAGGGAGTGGTGGCAATTAGAGGTCTTGCAGGCTTCAGGCACGGGCTGGCACGCACTTATCCCCCTCCCCTCCCCGGCCCAGCGCCAGGCCATCTGATAACCAGTCTCATTTGGCCAATCGTTAATTGAGCAGTAAATGTGGGCCAGGCGGCCCTGTGGGGCCCCGGGGACCGAGCTGAGCCGCGAAGCAAACCAGCAGAACCGCCGCTCCGAAGAGCTGGCCGTCTCCCCGGGGGAGGCAGCGTGCAGGGAGGGCCCAGCGTGCAGGGAGGGAGAGATGGGGGGGGGGAGGGCGGGGAGGCAGGGAGGGTTAGTTCTCAGTGCAGGGAGAAGTGAAACCTGCACCGGAGGGTTTGAATCCGGGAAGCAGCAAGATGTGCTTTCATGGTCCAAAGCAATCTGGCTGCCTTGTGGGACGTGCACTGGGCAAGAGGAGGTGAAGGGGTGCATGAGGAGGCCCGGGCCACCGTCCCTTAGGTATTAGGGTTAGGGCTAGGGTTAGGGTTAGGGTTAGGGTTAGGGTTTAGGGTTAGGGTTTAGGGTTAGGGTTAGGGTTAGAGTTAGGGTTAGGGTTAGGGTTTAGGGTTAGGGTTAGGGGTTAGGTTAGGATTGTTAGGGTTAGGGGTTAGGGTTCGGTTTAGGGCTAGGGTTAGGGTTTAGGGTTAAGGTTAGGGTTTAGGGATAGGGTTAGTGTTAGGGTTAGGGGTTAGGGTTAAGGTTAGGGGCTAGAGTTAGGGTTAGGGCTAGAGGTTAAGGTTAGGGGTTAGGGGTTAGGGTGGGGTTAGGGTTAGGGGTTAGGGTTAGGGGTTAGAGTTAGGGTGAGGGTTTAGGGTTAGGGTTCGGGGTTAGAGGTTAGAGTTAGGTGTTAGGGTTAAGGTTAGGGTTGAGGTTAGGGTTAGGGTTTGGGTTAGGGTTAGAGTTAGGGATTAGGGTTAGAGGTAAGGGGTTAGGGGTAGGGTTAGGATTAGCGGTTAGGGTTAAGGGTTAGGGGTTAGGGGTTTTGGGTTAGGGTTAGGGTTAGGCATTAGGGTTAGAGGTTAGGGTAGGTGTAGGGGTTAAGGTTAGGATTGGTGTTGGGGTTGGGGTTAGGGTTAGGTTACAGTTATGGTTACGGTTATGGTTACTGTTAGGGTTAGGGTTAGGTTTGGCGCCATAAGATGCTGGCTGGGGCCAGGATGCTGGCTGGTGGGGGGGGGTTGATGCAAGCCCTAACCGGTTTGACTCAGTAGATAGAGCATCAGCCTGCGGACTGAAGAGTCTCAGGTTCAATTCTGGTCAAGGGCATGTACCCTGGTTGCAGGCACACCCCCAGTGGGGAGTGTGCAGGAGGCAGCTGATCGATGTTTCTCTCCCATCCATGTTTCTAACTCTCTATCCCTCTCCCTTCCTCTCTGGGATTAGAAACCTTGGGGTCATTTTGAGACGAAGCCGGCAGGACTTGGTGGTGTGGGATGGGAGGGGAAGAGAGCCAGCCAGGCTGGCTCCAAGGATTTGGCCTGGACTGCGGGGCAGTTGTGTCTTTGGCTGCGTCGTCGTAGTCAGAGAAGAGGGATTGAGAAGCAGCTTGGATGGGGGGAGGGGAGCACCAAGCTCTTTTGCTTTTGCCAAGGTGAGTCTGGGAGACCGGGGACATGCCCAGGACAGATGCCAGGTCAGAGCGGAAGGTACAGATGCAGGTGGCGTCTGCCGGCAGACAGGTAGCATTTAAAGGCACGGCACCTGATGAGATCACCCAGAAAGTGGGCCGGATAGAGGAGCGGAGAGGGCCTGGGACACATCCCCAGGGTGCAAAAAGCCACGTGTTAGAGCAGTGGTTCTCCATCTTCCTAATGCCACAGCCCTTTAATACAGTTCCTCCTGCTGTGGTGACCCCCAAACATACAATTATTTTCATTGCTACTTCATAACTGTAATTATGAATCATAATGTAATTATCTGTGTTTTCCGATGGTCTTAAGCTCTACAGCAGCGGTTCTCAACGTGTGGTAACTAGCAGGGTCGCCTAAGACCATCGGAAAACACAGATTATTTACATTATGATTCATAATTACAGTTATGAAGTAGCAAGGAAAATAACTTTATGGTTGGGGGTCACCACAACATGAGGAACTGTATTAAAGTGTCTAGGCATGCCCTAACCGGTTTGGCTCAGTGGATAGAGCGTCGGCCTGCAGACTGAACAGTCCCAAGTTCGATTCCGGTCAAGGGCATGTACCTTGGTTGCTGGCACATCCCCAGTAGGAGGTGTGCAGGTGTCCGCTGATTAATGTTTCTCTCTCATCGATGTTTCTAACTCTCTCTCCCTCTCCCTTCCTCTCTGTAAAAAGTCAATAAAATATGTTAATAAATAAATAATAAATAAAGGGTTGTGGCCTTAGGAAGGTTGAGAACCACTGCGTTCGATGAACAAACAGCTGTTGAGCGCTGACGACTGGCCAGGTGCCCAGTGAGGCAGGGACATTCCATGTCCACAGGAAGGGCCTGTAGGCCCCATTTTGGCTGCTCTGTTGACTAATGAGTTTGCCGACAACTGGTCTAGAGCCGTGGGCGGCAAACCGCGGCTCCCGAGCCACATGCAGTTCTTTGGCCCCTTGAGTGTGTGGCTCTTCCCACAAAATACCATGGCCTGGGCGAGTCTATGTTGAAAAAGTGGCATTAGAAGAAGTTTAAGTTTTAAAAACGTGGCTCTCCAGAGAAATTTCAATCGTTGTCCTGTTGATGGTTTGCCGACCCCTGGTTAGCACCTCGACATCCGCCAACGGTGGCTCCCTAAAACCACGTGAATGAAGACTGGATGAAACCCCAAATCCACGGGGCATGCTCCAGGCGCTCCGTGGTTGCCTGTGGCCAGTGGCCCCCGGGTCACGTCGCACAGATACGTCCTCATCCTCGCAGACGGTTCTGTCTGTCGGGCACTGAGGCAGTTTTGGGAGGAGGGACAGTAAGACAGGTAGATACGTAACAGCACCTACATTATCCACAGAAGAATAATGATAGGTCTTTCTGGCGGAGAAGAAAACAGGAGCGGGAGATAAGGACTACCTGTTGGGGTGGATATTTACATCTTAATTGGGTTGCAGGGAAGGCCTCCGATTGAGGAGGTCACCTGTGAAGTAAGTGAGGGAGGGAAGAACCATGCAGACATCTGGGGGGCGGGGGGGGGGGGGGGGGAAATAGTTGCTGGCTGAGGGAGCAGCCAGGGCACAGGCCCTGGGACGGGAGGATGGCTGTTGTGTTCAAGGAAAGGCAGGGAGACCAGTGTGGCCAGAGAAGAAAGAGAGAGGGGGCGGGGGGAGGGAAAGGGAGGAGATCCCTGTGAGGTGACAGGGAGGACCATGTTGGCCCTGGTGAGGACTTTGGTCTCTCCTCAGAGTGAGTGGGGAGTCATCGGAGAATTCTCAGCAGGCCAAGGACAGGACCAACGTATGTTGTTAAAACACCTATGGCTGCCCTAACCCATTTGGCTCAGTGGATAGAGCGTCAGCCTGCGGACTCAAGGGTCCCAGGTTTGATTCCGGTCAAGGGCACATACCTTGGTTGCAGGCACATCCCCAGTAGGGGGTGTGCAGGAGGCAGCTGATCGATGTTTCTCTCTCATCAATGTTTCTGGCTCTCTATCCCTCTCCCTTCCTCTCTGTAAAAAATATATTAAAAAAAAAAAAGAAGAAGAAGAAGAAGAAGAAGAAGAAGAAGAAGAAGAAGTCTCCAAATTTATGCTGGAAGGATAGCATCCTCCTTTGCTGAGCTGGGAAGATGGAAGGAAACAGGCCAGATAGTTCCTGGGGCACCAGGCTGCCCCCCGTCCCATCACCACCCCATCTGGAGTCTCAGCCTCTGCCCAGAGGTTCCAGGTGCAACCCCGCCCTTCTCCTCTTTCCCAGGAACCTACAGGTCTACCTGGGGAAGCACAACATTTACGAGCGAGAGAGCTTCCAGGAGCAGAGCTCGGTGGTCCAGACCGTGGTCCACCCTGGCTTCAACGCCGGCACACACGACCAGGACATCATGCTACTACGCCTGAAGCACCCGGCCAACATCTCGGACCGCATCCGGCCCCTGGCCCTGGAGAGGGACTGCTCGGCCAACCGCACCAGCTGCCAGATCCTGGGCTGGGGCAAGACTGCCAGTGGTCAGTAAGACAGGGACAATGGGGAGGCGGGCCAGTGGGCCAAAGGGGGGAGGGTCAAAGGTGAAGGTGGTCCCATGGTGAGGACCCATGGGGCAGTGTGTCGCTGGGTGAAAGGTCAAAGCGGAGGGAAGACAAATATGGAAGTTGGGCTAAATGAGTGAATAGCCAGTGGGAGAAAGTAGACCAGTGGGTGAATGGTAATGGCTGGGTGGGCCATAAGGTGATGGGTCAGTGAGGAGGAGGAGGACCAATGGGGAGACGCCAATCGGAAAAGAGTCCAGTTGTCTAAAGGGACCAATCAGGCTGCACTGATGATCAAGAAGGGGTAAGTGGAGGAGGGACTAATGGAAGAAAAGAGATGAATAAGGCAGGAGAGCCAGCTGAAGGGTGTGAATTGACAGAGTGGATGGCCAGAGAGAGCTAATGGGGGCGGGACCATGGGGGAAGAGTGAATAGTCTAACAGAGTCACTAGAAGAAAAAAGAAGTCCAGTAAATCAGCGGGAACCATTGACCTGTAAGTGAAGGGCCAAAAAAGAAGGTCCCCTATTGGATGAAGGGCCAACGGAAAGGTAGAGCCATTTAGGAAAGGACCAATGAGGGAGATGGACCATTGGATGTAGGGCCAATAGGAAGGGAGAGCCATGTAGGAAAGGACCAATGAGGGAGGTGGGTGGACCATTGGATGAAGGGCCAATAGGAAGGGAGAGCCAATGGGCAAAGAAGGGTCCAGTTAGGAAATGTCTAATGGTCCAGTGATGACCAACCAGGATGAACCAATGAGCAAGAATGGTCCAGTGAAGGACAAAGGAGTGTGACAGGGGCAGTCACTCATAGAGGAAGCTTCTGGAGGTCAGCTGGAACTACTGGAGAAGGTGGGACCCGTGGAGGAGAGAGAAGCGGAGGCAGGACCTAGAAAGAAAGGAAAAGTCGACAGGAAATGAGGACTCCTGGAAAAGGGAGGGACTGATGAGGAAGACAAGCCAACGGGAGGGAAGAGTGGCATAATGAGGGACCTATCAAGAGTCAAGGCCAATGGCGATGGGTTTTAAGAACAAGAGACAAATGGGGAGAAGGGAACCAGTGCGGGATGGGGGCCAGCAGAGGAGGGAGGAATGGTAGGGCTGATAGGGCTCGGATGGTAGCTGGGGAAGATGTGGGAAGGATGGCTCCTGAAGTGAGCCACTGTCTCTCTCTCTCTCTCTCTCTCTCTCTCATCAGGTGTGTTTCCTAACACCATCCAGTGTGCAGATGTCCACCTGGTACCTCGTGAGGACTGTGAGCGGGCCTACCCCGGCCAGATCACCGAGAACATGGTGTGTGCCGGGGACGAGAAGTACGGGAAGGATTCCTGCCAGGTGAGGCCCATGGCGGGACCCGCCAGTTACACAGCAAAGGACAGAGACACGAAAACACAGACAGAGACAGGAAGGGAGAGACACACACAGAGACCTTAACTGGGCTTTACAGAGACGTTGAGGCATGAAAAGGGTGAGAGAGCCCTGGCTGGTTTGGCTCAGTGGATAGAGCGCCGGCCTGCAGACTGAAGGGTCCCAGGTTTGATTCCGGTCAAGGGCACATGCCCGGGTTGTGGGCTCGGTCCCCTGGTGGAGGCGTGCAGGAGGCAACCAATCAATGATTCTCTCTCATCATTGATGTTTCTATCTCTCTCTCCCTTCCTTTCTGAAATCAATAAAAAATATTTTTTATTGCATTTTTACAAAGTAGAAGAGAGAGGGATAGAGTCAGAAACATGAATGAGAGAGAAACATTGATCAGCTGCCTCCTGCACACTCTCCACTGGGGATGTGCCTGCAACCAAGATGCATGCCCTTGACCGGAATCGAACCTGGGACCCTTCAGTCCGCAGGCCGACGCTCTATCCATTGAGCCAAACTGGTTAGGGCAAAAAATTATTTTTATATATATATATATATATATATATATATATATATATATATATATATATATAAAAGAAAAGGGTGAGAGACGTAATTCACACTCAGAGACACATCCAGCAAAGACGGGAAATGCCACCAGGGATGGAGATGGAGAGGGAGAGAGCAAGAACCAGAGAGACACCATAAAGAGGCAGATGGCATGAGGGCATGTCCTTCCTCAAACAGAGCCCACAGGTCCTGCTCAGACACGGCCACGCTGGAGGGGGACCCTAGCTGGGGAGAGAAGGGGCTCCATCCCCAAATACCTTTCACTTGGGTTTCCTCCACTGTGGTCCACTGAGTCTCTCCACCTTATTCCAAAACTTAGCTTTGAAGGACCTGAGCCAGCCAAGGAGAAGATGAATAATACACAGTGAATTGGGTGACACAGTGAAGAGAAAGGACATCTCTCTCTGCCTTCCTCTGTCCCTCCACCTGTTGGATTCTGTTCTGTTCTTAACCTTTATTCTTTTTCATACACACACACACACACACACACACGCACACACACACACATATATATATATACTGTATATACACTGAGTATCCAGACTATGATGAGCTCTGAACACGTAATAATCTGGCCATTCAGTGTGTATTCTATATAATAAAAGGCTAATATGCAAATCATATATCCTATATAATAAAAGGCTAATATGCAAATTGTATATCCTATATAATAAAAAGTTAATATGCAAATAAAACCCCTTGACCAGGAGTTCAAACAGCAGGCAGGCCAATTGCCCATGTCCCCTCCCTTTGGACAGGCTGGCCAGACCCCACCCATGCATGAATTTATGCACTGGGTGTTTACATATATATATATATATATATATATATATATATATATATATATATATATATAATCTCACCCCTCACTATATATATATATATAGTGAGGGGTGAGATTATTATGCTTTCAGAGGTCATAATAATCTGGCCACTCAGTGTGTATATACACTAGAGGCCCAGTGCATAAGATTCATGCACTGAACGATGCATGGGTTCCTCAGCCTAGACTGCACCCTCTCACAGTCTGGGACCCCTCAGGGATGTCTGACTCCAGGCTTAGGCCCGATCCCTGCCAGCAGTCAGACATCCCTCTCGTGGTCCAGGGCTCCCACATAGCAGGACTGCTCACCCCTTACTGGTGGCCTGCAGCAGAGGCAGGAGTGGCTCCCACCACCCGCTCTGCGCTCACCAGGTGTGAGCAATGAGGGCAGCTCCTGCACTGAGCATCTGCCCCCTGGTGGTCATGGTGAGTCATAGCAATCGGTCTTTCCACCGTTTGGTCATTTTTGCATATTAGGGTTTTAGTATATAGAATATATTATTGATATCAGAGAGGAAGAGAAAGGGAGAGAGAGAGAGAAACATCAATGATGAGAGAGAATCATTGATTGGCTGCCTCCTGCATGCGACACACTGGGGATCAAGCCCACAACCCAGGCATGCACCCTTGTCTGGAATCGAACCCGGGACCCTTCAGTCCACAGGCCAACCAATGCTCTATCCACTGAGCCAAACTAGCAAGGGTTATTTCTTTTTCTTTCTCTTTCTCTCTGTGTCTGTTTCTCCGTGCTCCTGAGTTTCCCTCGGTGTCTCTATTTCCCTGTGTGTGACTGTGTGTGTGTGTGTGTGTGTGTGTGTGTGTGTATGTCTGTCCCCGAGTATTTCTCTCCATCTCTGGGTGTCTCTCCCTTTCTACATGTCCGAGTCCACTCCCGTTTCCCTGTCTTTCTCTCCCTGTATTACTGACTCTCCCTTTTTCCCCCCCCGAAGGGCGATTCCGGGGGCCCCCTGGTGTGTGGAGACCATCTCCGAGGCCTGGTATCCTGGGGCAACGTCCCCTGCGGATCCAAGGAGAAGCCGGGGGTCTACACCAACGTCTGCAGATATAACCAGTGGGTCCGGAGAACCATTTGGGCCAACGCCTTCTCAAAGGTGGCATCCAACCCTTGACCTCAGCCCCTACTCACCGCCTCTAAAATATCTCTGATCAAGACCACACCTCCTCCTCCCGCTCCTGTCCAGAGTCAATCCTTAACGCTTCCTTCTGCCTGGTTTGACCCCAACCCCGTCCCTGGGGCTGGGGGTGACCCAGGCTGAGGTCTTGCCCCCACCACTAAGAGAAAAAAGGAACCCCGCTTCTGAGCATCCGTCCCTCCGGATCATCCCAGGGGCATGTTGTCTCCCGGAAGAGGGGTAGTCACACGCCTGGAGAAACCCGATCCCAAGTGGAATCCCAGCTCTTTCTCTTGCTACCCTTACAGAAACAGGATGATAACAGTACGCTCCACGTAACTCAGGGGCCGCAGCTGGGAGGGTTCAAGGTCTCGAACTCGGGAAACGCGGGCACCGGGGCCTGCCTGCTGAATAAAGAGTAAATGTTGCTGAAACCGGTGTGGCTCAGTGGATAGAGCGTCCACTTGCAGACTGAAGGCTTCTGGGTTCGATTCCGATCAAGAGCATGTATATTGGTTGTGGGCACATCCCCAGTAGAGGGTGTGCAAGAGGCAGCTGGTCGATGTTTCTCTCTCATCAATGTTTCTAACTTTCTATCCCTCTCCCTTCCTCTCTGTAAAAAAGCAATAAAATATATTTTAAAAAAAAAAAAAGAGTATGTGTCATTGCTGGTGACACGTTTTGCTTTTCTGCTGCCCCGGGACCCAGCTATGCTCAGTTCTTTTAAGCAGCCTCACGGAATTGGGCGGGTCATCCTCCAGGGTCCATGAGAGACGGTGCCAGGCCTTGAATGCCCAGCGGAAGACGTGGGCCTTGGCCCTGAGGGCCCTGAGAGGAGGAAGGACGGGGTCAGATCTGGGTATTGGAACAATCTCACGGGGGTGCTTTTGAGGTGGGGGGAACGGGCAGGGAGGAGGAGGCCCTCAAAAATATGAGGGGAGCCGAAACCAGTGTGGCTCCGTGAATAGAGAGTCGGCATGCGGACTGAACGGTCCCAGGTTCGATCCTGGTCAAGGGCATGTACCTTGGTTGTGGGCACATCCCCAGGGAGGGGCATGGAGGAAGCAGCTGATTGATGTTTCTAACTCTCTGTCCCCCTCTCTCTCTTCCTCTCTGTAAATATATATATATATATATATATATATATATATATATATATATATATATATATATATAATTGATTTTTTTTACAGAGAGGAAGGGAGAGGGATAGAGAGTTAGAAACATCGATCAGCTGTAACCCCCCACCCCCACATACCCCCCACTGGGGATGAGCCCGAAACCATGGTACATGCCCCTGACCGGGATCGAAATGGGACCCTTCAGTCCGCAGGCCGACGCTCTATCCACTGAGCCAAACTGGTTTCAGCAATAAAATGTATTTTTTTAAAAATGAGGGGAGCAGACAAACAGAGCTGAGTGAGGGCCCAGGCTTCCCATGCTCTCTGGGGAATCCATCAACCCCCACCATGCATGACCCCATCGGTGTACACCCCTCTGTCCCCAACCCCAGGCCCAGACCTGTCCTCAGGGAAGCGTCCTTCTCTTACACCCTCCGCGGCCGCATCTCTGAGGAAGACAAACCAACACGTATGTCACATGTCCTCCCAGGATATGAGTGGGACAGGTGGTAGCACCCCAGAGAGAGGCACTGGAGGCGGCCAATCAATGACCCTCTCTCATCATTGATGTCTATCTCCCTCCCCCTTCCTCTTGGAAATCAATAGACAAATATAATTTTATGTTGAAATAGTCCCTGCATGGGGCTGGGGTGAGGAGCGGAGAAATACTCAGGAACAAAGAGAGTATGAGAAATGATAATTCATTGCCCTAACCGGTTTGGCTCAGTAGATAGAGCGTCGGCCTGCGGACTGAAAGGTCCCGGGTTTGATTCCGGTCAAGGGCACATCCCCAGTGGGGGGTGTGCAGGAAGCAGCTGATCGATGTTTCTCTCCCATCGATGTTTCTAGCTCTCTATTTCTCTCCCTTCCACTCTGTAAAAAAATCAATAAAACATATTTTAAAAAAAAGAAACGATAATTCAAGTGATACTAGAAATACACTTAAAAGAACCCAAAATGAGACAAGCCATACTGGTTATGCTGAGAGGCAAATGCATCAGTCTGTAGTGAGTTTCTTTCTGGGCCACCGGTTCTTTTGAGGCCCAATTTCAATGTCAAACAGTTCCTTGTGTGTACATGTCAGCCATGGTATTTCAGTTCTGGATGGTGGACAAATGGTGGTTATCGCTTGTCTCATTTTTTATTCCTATAAGTGTATTTTTAGTATCACATGATCTCACTCATCTAGGGGAAATAATGACCAGCATAAACAGATGAACAAAAACAGACTCAGAGCTGGGACCAGTTTGGCTCAGTGGATAGAGCGGAAAAAAAAAAAAACCAGACTCAGAGGCAGGTAAGCATCAATGAGACTGCCAAACCTCAGAGGGAAGGGTGGGGTAAGAGGGAGAGATCAGCTAAAGGACTTATGTGCATACATATGAGCCTAACCAGTGGTCACGGACAACAGGGGAGTGGGGGCATGCGTGGGGAGGGGTTTGGGATGGGAATGGGGGGATGAGGACAAATATGTGATACCTAAATCAATAAAGAAATTTAAAAAAAAAAAAAGAAATGATAATCCATTTGTTTTACACATATTGAAGACAACCCTATTTTGCCCAGAGTGGAATGAGATTGGAAGTTATTAAACTAAGTGACTGAACCATAGGGGACATTCAAAATCAATTCTATCTCTCTCTCTATATATATATATTTTTTTTTTTTTAATTCTCACCCAAGGATATATTTTTATTTAGAGAGAGAGAGAGAGAGAAAGTGAGAGAGAGAGAGAGAGAATCATCTATGTGAGACAGAAACATCGGTTGGTTGCCTCTCGTACACACCCCAACTGGGTATCTGCCCTGACCAGGAATGGAACCTGCGACCTTCCCAAGGTACAGGAGGGCTCTTCAACTCCCTGAGCCACCAGCTGGGGCAACCCCATGTCATTCTCGCTAGAAGAGAGATGTGGTCCCAAGACAGAGGGGCTGTATAAGAAGAACAGAGTCCCTCAGCTCCAAAGAGCTTTAGAGTTGGAGAAACAAACATTACACGTCTTAAGAGCCAAGGAAATGTGAAATTTTAAAAAAATACATTTTATTGATTCTTTTACAGAGAGGAAGAGAGAGGGATAGAGTTAGAAACATCGATGAGAGAGAAACATCGATCAGTTGCCCCCCTAGCACACCCCCGACGGAGGATGTGCCTGCAACCAAGGTACATGCCCATGACCGGAATCGAACCTGGGACCCTTCAGTCCGCAGGCCGACGCTCTATTCACTGAGCCAAACCCGTGAGGGCGAGAATGTGAAATGTTTTCAAAGGGGTGCAATAGGAAGTGGTTGTTGGCTTTTTTTTTTTTTTTTTTTTTACAGAGAGGAAGGGAGAGGAATAGAGAGTTAGAAACATCGATGAGAGAGAAACATCCATCAGCTGCCTCCTGCACACCCCCCACTGGGAATGTGCCCGCAACCAAGGTACATGCCCTTGACCGGAATCAAACCCAGGGCCTTTCAATCTGCAGACCAACGCTCTATTTACTGAGCCAAACCAGTTTCAGCTGGTGGTTGACTTTTACAAGGTGAGGACAGGGAAATATTGAGTCCTGGGAAGGGACTGGGCCTGCTTTAACCAACCCCTTCTGCAAGTTATAAAGGGGTCACCAGGAGGAACCCAATTAATGTCCAGGCCACAATAGCAATAAACACTGGGCACATGCAGTATGCTGTTCTAAAGGACCGTATCTACTGACTCATGTAATCCTCACAGCAAGCATTATGTTCCCTAATTACAGAGAGGGAAGCTGAGGCTTAGAGAGGCTCCAGGGATAGCCCAAAGGCTTACAGATAACTAGAGGCCCAGCACACGAAATTGGTGCATGGGGGACGGGGTCTCTCAGCCCAGCCTGCACCCTCTCCAATCCGGGACCCCTTCGGGGTGGGGCCTAAACCAGCAGTTGGACATCTCTCTCGCAATCCAGGACTGCTGGCTTCTAACCACTTGCCTGCCTGCCTGCCTGCCTGCCTGATCACTCATAAACACTCGCCTGCCTGCCTGATCACCCCTAACTTGCCTCCCTGCCAGACTAATCACCTCCTAACTGACTCCCTGCTGGCCTGGCCACCCTCTAACTGCACCCCCTGCTGTCCTGCTTACCCCCTAACTGCCCCCCCTGCTGTCCTGGTTACCCCCTAACTGCCCCTCCCTCCTGGCCTGGTCACCCCCTAACTGCCCCCCTGCCGGCCTGGTCACCCCCTGTCCAGAAGGAAGTCTGATATCTAGAAGATGTCTGGTTGACCCAGTCTAATTAGCATATTACCCTTTTATTAGTATAGTACCCTTTTATTAGTATATATATATATATGTGTGTATATATATATATATATATATATATATTTTTTTTTTTTTTTTTTTTTTTTTTTTTAATTTGCAGGCTCAACTTAAGAAACTAAGAAAGGACTAGGTTGTGGATGTGTCACTTTAACGCATGTAATAATCAAAATTAGTATAGATGGGTGGCCACATTGCCCTGGCTGGTGTTCTCAGTGGTTAGAGCATCAGCCTGTTGACTGAAAGGTCCCAGGTTTGATTCCAGTGAAGGGCACATGCTTGAGTTGCAGGCTCCATCCCAGTGGGGGGGGGGGGGGGGGGGGGCATGCTGGAGGCAGCCGATCAATGATTCTCTCACATCATTGATGTTTCTAAGTCTTTACCTCTCCCTTCCTCTCTTAATCAAAAAAAATATATATTATAAAAATATATTAAAAAGTAAAAATTGATGCCCTATCTGATTTGGCTCTGTGGATGGAGCATTGGCCTGCGGATTGAAGGATCCCAGGTTCGATTCTGGTCAAGGGGATGCACCTTGGCTGTGGGCACATCCCCAGTAGCGGGTGTGCTGGAGGTAGCTGATCGATGATTCTCTCTCATCGATGTTTCTAACTCTCTATCCCTCTCCCTTCCTCTCTGTAAAAAATTAATAAAATTTCTTTAAAAAAAAATAAAAATCGAGATCAACCAAAAGACTTGTATGCATGCAAATAAGCATAACCAATGGACAGAGACAGCAGGGGGGTGAGGGCACGTACAGGAGTGGGGTGGAGGGGCGATGGGGGGATATAGACACATATGTAATACCTTAATCAAAAAATAAATAAATAAATTTAAGTGAAAGATTAAAAAAATCAATGAAAAACATATCCTCAGGTGACGCTTTTTAAAAACGTGTTAAAACATATATAGGATGAGCCCAGCTGGTGTGGCTCAGTGGTTGAGCGTCGACCTATGAACCAGGAAATCACAGTTCCATTCCTGGTCAGGGCACACGTAGGGGCTGTGGGCTCAATCCTCAGTGTGGGGTGCACAGAAGGCAGCCAATCAATGATTCTCTCTCATCATTGATGTTTCTATCTCTCCCTTCTGAAATCCATATATATATTTTTTTTTTTTTAATTTGCAGGCTCAACTTAAGAAACTAAGAAAAGACTAGGTTGTGAATGTGTCACTTTAACGCATGTAATAATCAAAATAAACCTCAGCATTTTATTTTTTTATTTTTATTTTTATTTTTTTATATATTTTATTAATTTTTCACAGAGAGAAAGGGAGAGGGATAGAGAGCCAGAAACATCGATGAGAGAGAATCATCGACCAGCTGCCTCCTGCACACTCCCCACCGGGGATGTGCTCGCAACCAATGTACATGCCCTTGACCGGAATCTAACCCGGGACCCTTCAGTCCCCAGGCCGATGCTTTATCCACTGAGCCAAACCGGTTTCGGCAGCATTTTATTTTTTTTAATATATTTTATTTTTACTTTTTTTTACAGAAAGGAAGGCAGAGGGATAGAGAGCCAGAAACATCGATGAGAGAGAAACATGGATCAGCTGCCTCCTGCACCACCACCACCACCACCACCCCTGCTCCATTGGGGATGTGCCCACAACCAAGGTACATGCCCTTGACCGGAATCGAACCTGGGGCCCCTCAGGCCGCAGGCTGACGCTCTATCCACTGAGCACACCGGCCAGGGCAGAATTTTATTTTTCCTATTTTACCCCCTGTGTACTAAGCCAGACTCAGAGCTCTCACACCCGCCTGGAGACAGAGGGAGGGAGATAGCTACGGTCTCCCTTCAAGGCAGGTGACCTTCGCCAGGCCAGCATCTGTGCCCATCGGTTCTCGGACGGATGGGTGTGACGCACAGTAGGTGCTCAGCACGTATGTATGTGCTGAATGAGTGAGCGCGTAGCTCTTCCTTCCTCGTGGTGACAGAGCCTCGCCGTCACCCTGAGAGATGCTTGCACACAGTCGGGGGCACCCAGAAAGACCGGATGGAGGGAGAGGTCAGCAGAGGCGGCCCCAGATGGCCCGGGACCAGGGACCAGGGAGGGAGAAGGCACCTTTTGGGCTCCCCACCCAGTGTGCCCCATTTCCCAACGGGCCAGGAGCCACCCGCCCCCTCAGCCTCAGGTGGCCCAGCCCAACTTTCTCACCCACGCCTGGCTGAGCAGCTGGGCCACCTCACCTGCCAGGGAGGGGCGGAGGGAGGGATTGCCCATAGCCCCGGCACCAGGGTGAAGGGCAGGAGACGGGGTTGAGGGGTGTCTTGGCAAAGTGGCCTGAGTCTGCTGGACCCAAAATGCAGGGTTGGGGAGACTGAGGGACAGAAAGACAGAGAGAGAGAGAGAAAGAGAGGGAGGATTGAGTCACAGAGGGGAGGAACAGGGGAGGACAGGTACAGAGACCCAGCGGTGGAGAGAGGCAGACAGGAATCACAGACAGACACGTGAGAGGGCCGTGAACAGGATGGCGTTGGCGATGGCGATGATAGGGCTTGTGTGTGTCCCGCAGTCAGGACGCTGTCCACGGGCGTGCACAAGGCTTCTGGTGCCCCAGGTATGCCTCAAGGAAGCCGTTTTTAAAGGAAAATAAAAGCAGACTGGACAATTCCAAGGGGTGTTTGACAAGCCAAGTACTCAAAAGCATTCAAAAGAAAGAGGATCCACCCAGCCCGTTTGGCTCAGTGGATAGAGCGCCGGCCTGCAGACTGGAGGGTCTCAGGTTCGGTTCAGGTCAAGGGCTTGTACCTTGGTTGTGGGCACATCCCCGGTGGGGAGTGTGCAGGAGGCAGCTGATCGGTGTGTTTCTAACTCTCTATTCCTCTCCCTTCCTCTCTGTCAAAATAAATAAAATATATATATTCTTTAAAAACTGTTGCCTGTTTAATAAGTGACATTTCATTGAGAGAGAGAGAGAGAAAGAGAGAGAGAGAGAGAGAGAGAGAGAGAGAGAGAGAGAGAGAGAGAGAGAGAGAGAGAGAGAGGATATCACGGAGCCACAAAGAGCAAGATGCAGAGACACAGAAAGACAGGCAGAGGGGGAGGGACAGAGGAGCAGACACGTTGAGACACAGAGAGACCTGGATCCTTCCAACGGGTGGGGGTGGAAGGAGGTGGAGGGGAAGCGGGGAGAGAAGCAAAGAGGAATACTCTGTGGACACCTTACACCGAAGGAGACTCGGGGAGACTGGGAGGGGAGCAGAGAGGGAGATTCGGGCGATAGGAGAGTTGGCAGCGCGGAGAGGAGGCTGGAAGGGTGCCGGGAGGTGAGAGAGGGCGCTCGGGACAGAGAAGCCTGGCCCGGAGCGCAGACCCCTCCCCATCCCCATTCCCATCCCCGGGCCGGGAGGCAGGGAGTGGCTTGGGGACTGGGTGGGGTGGGGGTGCTAGGGGGCGGAATGGGGGGGAGGCAGGAGGAGTGATTGCTGAGACCCGCCAGGGCGCCTCACTGCCCGGGAATGCGCCCCGGGCGGCCGTGGGTGGTTATAACCAGACGGGGAACCGGGAGCGGGGAGGCGGCGGCGGCGGCGGCGGACGGTGCGGGGCCCCGACTCTGCGCTGAGCCCGGAGCCGCTCCGCACCCCCTCCGACCTGGGGGCGCGCAGGTGAGGCCTTGGAGGGGGACCCCGTGCAGGGGAGGCGGGGAGGGGGACCCCGTGCAGGTGAGGCGGGGAGGGGGACCCCCGTGCAGGTGAGGCGGGGAGGAGGATCCTGTGTGTGCAGGTGAGGCCGGGAGGGGGCAGCAAGGGAGACTGCAGGGTGGATTCCCCCAATTCCTGAGGAGAATGGGGTTCCCTCCTCACTGGGCCCCCGCTCCCCGCCCCCCGGCAGGCGCAGTGACCATGGCGAGGACAGGACCGCCCTGGACGTGGATGGTCGGCGCCCTGCTCACCGCCCTCCTCCTGCGGGTGACAGGTGAGCGGAGGGGTGCTGGGGGGAGGCACTCTGTGGCCCCGGGGCGCCTGGGGGGGGGGGGGGCTGCAGGGACTGGCGCCAGGCCCGGCCTGTGTGAGTGCAGTGGCTGTGGCAGTGGCTGTGGCTGTGGCTGTGGCAGTGGCAGTGGCAGTGGCTGTGGCGGTGCAAGGTTTTGTGTGGCTCCCCTTAGGCCCGTTGGACGGCGTAAAGCCCTATGCGCTGATGATTGTATGTGACTGTATGTCTGTGTGTGTGTGTGTTGTGATTGAAGGTTACTGCGTGCTTGTGCGGGGGATTGTATGTGACTGCGTGTTTGTGCAGGTGACTGTGTGTGCGGGCTGTATGTGCGCCAGTGCAGCTCTGTGTGGAGTTGCCCTCCCTCTGAGACAGTGGCTGTGTGAAGGCGGATGGTGCCCGGGGTGTCATGGCACACATAGGAGACATGCAGGCGTGTCACTGAGACACGTGGGTGTGAGAGCAGGTGAGGCCCCCCCCAGTGTGTATGTCCGGGCCATGTGCACCGTGAGGCAGCGGTGTGTGCAGCTGTCCCGGGAGGCGACGCTGTGCGCTTGTCTGTGACAGCTGTTGTGTGCGTGTTTCCTGGGGGGGGGGGGGCGTGTTTCAGGGGTATTTGTGTGTTTCCTGGGGGGGGTGCGTGTTTCGGGGGTATGTGCGTGTTTCCTGGGGGGGGGGGTGTGCGTGTTTCAGGGGTATGTGCGTGTTTCGGGGATATGTGCATGTTTCCTGGGGGGGGGGGTGTGTTTCGGGGGTATGTGCGTGTTTCGGGGGGTATGTGCGTGTTTCGGGGGTATGTCTGTGTTTCCTGGGGGGGGGTGCGTGTTTTGGGGATATGTCTGTGTTTCCGGGGGGGGGTGCGTGTTTCGGGGGTATGTGCGTGTTTCCTGGGGGGGTGCGTGTTTCAGGGGTATGTGCGTGTTTCCCGGGGGGGGTGCGTGTTTCTGGGGTATGTGCGTGTTTCGGGGGTATGTGTGTGTTTCCTGGGGGAGTGTGCGTGTTTCGGGGGTATGTGTGTGTTTCCTGGAGGGGGTGTGCGAGTTTCGGGGGTATATGTGTATTTCCTGGGGGGGGTGCGTGTTTCGGGGGTATGTGCGAGTTTCGGGGGTATGTGTGTGTTTCGGGGGTATGTGTGTGTTTCCTGGAGGGGGTGTGCGAGTTTCGGGGGTATGTGTGTGTTTCCTGGGGGGGGGGGTGCGTGTTTCCTGGAGGGGGTATGTGAGTGTTTCGGGGGGGGGTGCGTGTTTCAGGGGTATGTGCGTGTTTCCTGGGGGGGGTGCGTGTTTCCTGGGGGGGGGGGTGCGTGTTTCAGGGGTATGTGCGTGTTTCCCGGGGGGGTGCGTGTTTCGGGGGTATGTGCGTGTTTCCTGGGGGGGTGCGTGTTTCGGGGGTATGTGCGTGTTTCCTGGGGGGGTGCGTTGTTTCGGGGGTATGTGCGTGTTTCGGGGGTATGTGCGAGTTTCCTGGGGGGGGGGATGCATGAAGCTTCTCTGCTCTGGGTCGTCAGCAACAGCATGAACGGAAAAGCTTGGGGGGCTGATGGAGTGAGGTGTCGTGTCTGTGGATTTGTGGGGGGCGGAGCATTCAGGGGCGCCTTATGTTGGAACCAGCTCTGCTCTCCCCTCCGCGGGGCTCCCAGGCTGAGCTTGCTCCCCGGTTCTGTGGGGCCCACCTGTGCGCCCTGACCCTGACCCTGACCTTGACCCTGACCCTGACCCTGACTTCAGCCACACCTCCGTGCAGGCCACACCCACGGTCAGGGCCCTGGGTGGTGCCCACCCCTCAGCCCCTAGCTCCTCCCGCTTCACCTCCGCCCTCAGTTCCTAGAGCCCGACCCCACCTCTGCTCCCCCGCTCTTCGGCTCTTCGCAGTCTAGCTGCCCCGTGACCCTGGCCTTGGCCCCACCCAGGCCGGTGCCAAGCCCTTCCCACGCCCAGGCTCTGCCGCCTCCAGCCCTGACCCCATTCCCTGAGGCCTGGCCACACTCCTTGAAACCAGGCCCCACCCTAAGCCCCAGGCCCCGCCCCCCTGAGCACCCCGGGCTCCACCTCCTGACCCTTGACCTCACCCCCGAGATTGTCCAGTTTTGCCCACCCACTAAACCTCTGACCAGTCCTAGCGATCCCGAGATCTCGCCTAAGTCCACTCTCCCAACCTGAGCCTGGACCCTGCCCTTGAACTCTAAGCCTCGCTCCCTCCCTGCAGCTCAGGGACCTCCAAGCTCCACCTCCCTCCCCCTAACCACGCCCCTAAACTCCTGGCCCCGCTCCCTCCCCCCTGGCCCCGCCCCTAAACTCTTGGACCCTCTCCCTCCCCCCTGGCCCTGACCCTAAACTCCTGGCCTCGCTCCCTCCCCCCTGGCCCCGCCCCTAAACTCTTGGACCCTCTCCCTCCCCCCTGGCCCTGACCCTAAACTCCTGGCCCCGCTCCCTCCCCCCTGGCCCCGCCCCTAAACTCCTGGCCCCACTCCCTCCCCCCCCTTCCCCCCCCACCCTGACCCTAAACTCCTGGCCCCGCCTCTAAACTCCTGGCCCCGCCCCTAAACCCACCCTGGTCCCACGCCCTCCACTGGCCCCTCCCCTAAACTCCTGGACCCCCTCCCTCCCTGGTCCCGCCCCTAAAGTCCTGGCCCCACTCCCCCCCCCCCCCCTCCGTGCAATGTGAGCGCCCTTCCCCAGCTCCACCTCTGAGCCCCTTCCCTCCTGTTTCCTGCCCCCCAGAGCCTGTTCTTGCAAATGATGGTGCCTCCTGCAGCAACGCCCCTGCCTCCGGGGCATCTGGGGGCAGCCGGGACCTGGCAGCCGGGACCAGGGAGGGCAGCCGGGACCTGGCAGCTGGGACCAGGGAGGGCAGCCGGGACCTCGGACCCGGGACCAGGGAGGGCAGCCGGGAAAACAGCGACCGCATCGTCAACGGGACAGACTGCGAGGAGCACGCCCAGCCGTGGCAGGCCGCGCTGCTGCTGAGACCCAACCAGCTCTACTGCGGGGCGGTGCTGGTGGCCCCGCAGTGGCTCCTCACGGCCGCCCACTGCCACAAGAAGTGAGTGGGGCCTCCCCCAACGGGGCTGGGGGGGCGGCCTGGAGGCCAAGGGCTGGGGAGACGGGTGGGGGCTGAGGGAGCAAGAGGAGGTAGAGTTGGGGATGGGATTAAGGGTGGAGTCGGAGCCCTAGCCGGGTTGGCTCAGTGGGGAGAGCCTGGGCCTCAGGTCTGAAGGGTCCCAGGTTCAATTCCGGTCACGGGCACATGCCTGGGTTCCAGCTGGTGGCATGCAGGAGGCAGCTGATCCACGATTCTCTCTCATCCTTGATGTTTCTAGCTCTGTCTCCCTCTCCCTTCCTCTCGGAAATCAATAAAAAGTAATAATAATAAATTTTTAAATATATAATTTTTATTGATTTTTATTGGCAGGGCCCCTACTGGGGACTGAGACCACAACCTGGTCATGCACCCTAACGGGGAATCCTAACAGTGACCTCCTGTTATAGGTTGACACTCAACCACTGATCCTCACCATCAGGGCATCAATAAATACATATATATACACTGAGTGGCCAGATTATTATGATCTCTGAATGCATAATAATCTGGCCACTCAGAATATATATATATATATTCATGCACCGGGCCTGAATATATAATATATTTTAGAGGCCCGGTGCATGAATTCGTGCATGGGTGGGGTCCAGCCAGCCTGGCCAGGGGGAGGGGACATGGGAAGTTGGCCCACCTGCCTGCTGGTCGAACTCCTGGTCAAGGGAACAATTTGCATATCAGCCTTTTATTATATAGGCTATACACTGAGTGGCCAGATTATGAGGCGTTCAGAGATCATAATAATCTGGCCACTCAGTGTGTGTGTGTGTGTGTGTGTGTGTGTATGATGGAGTTGGGGGAAAGAGTGGGGTAGGGACAGGGTTAAGTTGGGGAGAGGGTTGTGGGTGGGGATGGAGTTAGGGATGGGGTGGATTTGGAAGGTTGACCTGCCTTGGGGGTTTCCTGTCCACATCTTTCTATTAGTGAGACAGTGATTGGTTTCCGGCATTCATGGATGAGAGACAGAGGGAAGGAGAGAGAGAGAGAGAGAGAGAGAGAGACAGAGAGAGACAGAGAGAGACAGAGAGACAGAGAGAGACAGAGAGAGAGAGAGAGACCATCGATTGGTTGCCTCAAACAGGGATGGGAAGCGAACCTGCAAAACAGGTTGATGGTTTGGAGGTGGGTAAGGGATTAGGAATGGGGTGATCGAGGGTTGGGAATGGGGACGGGCACGTATCTGCTGATGGTTTGGGGTGGGCACGGCATGGTGGTTGGCTCTAGAGTCGGAACGGGTGGCCGTTGGGAGGGCGTTGGATAAAGTTGGGGATAGATGCGGGATTGAGGATGGGGTGGGGATTAGAGCTATGGGTGGGGGGTGGAGACGGTTGGCTTGGCGGTTGGGGATGGTTAGGTTTGGGGTTTCTGTGTGGGGAAAGGATTCGGGTGGGAGTTGGGGATGGGGTGGGGATGAGTTGGCGATGTGGCTGGGGTGGGGACAGGCATGGGGTCGGAGGTAAAGATGGTGTCGGGCTGGTGGGTTGGGGTTGGGACCATGTCTGCAGCTGCGGTTGGCCTCGGCGAGGGGGCTAAGGGTCGGGGTTGGTGGCAACCCGCACCGTCTTCCTCAGGATTTTCCGAATCCGCCTGGGCCACCGCTCCATGTCGCCGGTGTATGAGCAAGGGCAGCAGCTGTTCCGAGGGGTCAAGTCCATCCCCCACCCCGGCTTCTCCCGCCCCGGCCACACCAACGACCTGATGCTCATCAAGCTGAACCGGAAAATCATGGAGTCGCCGAACGTCAGGCCCATCAACATCTCCTCCCACTGCCCGGCCGTGGGCACCAGCTGCTTGGTGTCTGGCTGGGGGACAACCAGCAGCCCCCAAGGTGAGCGTCCAGGTCCTTGTGTGTGCGTGCGTGTGCGTGCGTGTGCGTGCGTGTGTGTGTTACTCCTCATCTATTGTCCCAATAATTCCATAAGGGACATATGCACAGGTGGCGTAGGGTGCCTCAGCCAGAAATCTGACACGTACGACCCTAGGTACTTAATTAATAATTCCACCGAGCATAAATTACACAGGAGACAAACAGACAGTGCATGAATCACTCACGGTTTATTTGCCAGAGTCCCGGTGGATTCTAGAAGCCTAGGCAGGCCACCCGGGGATCCGCACTCACACACACACACACACACACACACACACACACACACACGGTTCACGGAGAACATTGCAGCTGTGGCTGGGCTTCAGTTAAGGCCTCTTGCGATGGCTCATGGCTCGGGCAGAGCTTTGACTGGTGCAGGCAGGGGAAGTGGAGAGCAACCCTCTGTGGAGGAGCAGGAGGAACATCTCTGATCTTCTGTGGAGCTTGCTCTTTTTATGAGTCTTCAGTGCTCAGATGTGTCCTCAGTGTGTCTTATCAGCGGGTCCCAGGAGCCCTGCTATCCGGTCTTACATTTGGGGTACAGATCACGTTACCTATTTTCTACATACAGGCCACTCAAGGGTGCTTATCAGTTTGGTTACGTGACATTCCATACTTCCAGATATCACACTTCAATTCCACACTTTAATCCTTATTCTGTATTGTATTTTGTCCTTATTACGATTACTGTAACATCTGAGTATACGCTCTTCACGTGTGGGAACCCCTTTCACGTCCCACGCGGTTCAGCGTTCAGGTTCTGGAGAAGGCCACACACAAATGAAAAGAGACTAGAAAAGCTTTCGTCTGGGAATATTGGGGTCCAGGCAGGAGCCCTCCCTCTGCTAGGAGGACTACACCCCGCTCTGGCCTTGCTCTCCTTTTATTGAGGCTGTGGGAAACACCCACAGCCCTTAGGCAGGAAATAACAGACACTTAACATGGGACAAACAGAGGTGGAGGCTGCTTCAGCTGACAATGTTTCCACTAAACCGTGAGTGGTCAGAGCAATTAAGGTTGTTGACCAGCCTTCCCGGCTTCCTGTCCACATCTTTCTATCAGTGAGACAGTGATTGGTTTCCGGCATTCGTGGATGAAAGAGGGGGGGGGAGAAGGGGAAGAGAGAGAGAGGAAGGAAGAGGGGAGGGAGAGAGAGAGAGAGAGATCAATTGGTTGCCTCAACTGGGGGTTGGGAGCGAACCTGCAACCCAGGCACATGCCCTTTGACCTGGAACCCAACCCACCACTCTTCAGTGCACAGGTTGCCGCTCCAACCACTGGGCCACACCAGCCAGGGCTCCAGGTCCCTCCCGATGCTCAGGCATGCCCGCCTTCTCCCTGTCTCTGTCTGAGCACTCTGCCCCCCCCTCCCTCCCCGCCTCTCCCCACCACTCACCCTGCCCGTCTCTGCTCGGCAGTGAACTTCCCCAAGACCCTCCAGTGCCTGAACATCACCGTGCTGAACCACGAGAGGTGCAAGCAGGCCTACCCGAACCAGATCGACAACACCATGTTCTGTGCCGGCGACGAGGCGGGCAGAGACTCCTGCCAGGTGAGAGCTGGGGCGTCCGAGTGCCGCTGCCTGTGAGACCCGGGGCCTGGCTCAGCGCTGAGAACCGACCACAGCCAAACCCGCCAGGACCCCGGCTCCCACCATGCCCATGCCGTGGGCCGCGCTGTCCATCTATAGATATAAAAGGCTACTAGGTTCAGTGTCTGACTGTCCGACGGGCCACTATGATGCGCACTGACCACCAGGGGGCAGACGCTCAGCGCAGGGGCTGCCGAGCTGCAGTGACTTGGAAGCGACGGTTCTTGGGTGCCACCCCCGGAAACCAGAGAGGAGGGAGCCCGACTCCACCTTCGGCCATGGGTTATGTTGTTGCTGGGGCAGTGTGGGCCCTGCGTCTGGTGTACTGCACACTTGCGTTTGCAGTTCACACTCTGTACGACAGTAACTTTGCAGAGTGCCCTCTCCACTCCAGGACCCCTCAGGGGATGTCGGAGAGCCGGTTTTGACCCGGTCCCTGCAGGCCAGGCTGGGGCACCCTACCTGCTGGAGGGACCCCGCTCACGCTGAATACTCCGGGGAGGGACCGAGGGAGGTTGGTTCAGGGCATGTCCGGCCCCATCTCTCTTTCCTTCTCTCATCCTCTCTCTAAAAAAAGAAAAAAGTCAGTAAAAATCTTTTTTAATATATTTCATTGATTTTTTACAGAGAGGAAGGAAAGAGGGATAGAGAGTTAGAAACATCGATGAGAGAGAGACATCCATCATCTGCCTCTTGCACACACCCTACTGGGGATGTGCTCACAACCAAGGTACATGCCCTTGACCGGAATCGAATCTGGGACCTTTCAGTCCGCAGGCCGACGCTCTGTCCACTGAGCCAAACTGGTTTCAGCAGTAAAAATCTTTTTTAAAAAAGAATGTTTAATATATATGATATATAAGATATATGTTATATATTATATATAAGGTTATATATTGTATATAAGATATATATTATATATAATATAACATTATATATCATTTATAAGATTGATACCAAAGTTGTTGAAAGGTCTAGAGGAGAAAAAACAAATTTTTTTAAATGGCCAAGAAACCGCATAAATAGAGTCATTTCAGAGGCTGATAAGGCCTGTGCAGAAAATAAAACATGGTTCTATGATAGCAAGGGATGGGGGGCTTGGGGGCTTGGGAGGGCCTCCTGGAAGAGGTGGCATAGGAGCAGGGACTGAGTGACACAAAGGAGAGCCAGCCTGGTGAAGGTTAAAGGGCGAAGGTCCTGAGGCAGCGAGGAGTTCAGCTGACTCAGAGAACAGAAAGAAGCCAGTGTGTTTGGGGACAGTGTCTGGGGGAGAGGTTTGGGGACCCGTAGGAGTTGAGGCTGGAGAGGTGGGTGGGGTCAGTGTTCAACCATATTTCTTTTTTTCTTTTTTTTTTAATATATTTTATTGATTTTGTACAGAGAGGAAGGGAAAGAGATAGAGAGTTAGAAACATCGATGAGAGAGAGTCATCGATCAGCTGCCTCTTGCACACCTCCTACCGGGGATATGCCCGCAACCAAGGTACATGCCCTTGACCAGAACCGAACCCGGAACCTTTCAGTCCCCAAGCCGATGCTCTATCCATTGAGCCAAACCGGTTTCGGCTCAACCATATTTCTTGATCCTCAACAGAGTTTCTCTGCGTTCTCATGGAAGCTACGTCTATGGAGGGTGACAGAAACTAAAATGTAGCTGACACCGCGATCAGGAATCCTTCCCTGTACGCAGGGCCCTAGCAGGATGTACATGATCAAACTCTTCACCGCCCCTCCTCTCCCTCAAATTTTACAAACCTCACCATGGCAACGGCTTCCCGGGTCTCCCCGCTTCAGTGCTGTTCCCCCTGAACCGTAGGAGCACACCTGGATAGAGGGTGGGGGTGGGGGTGGGTATCAGAGAAAAACCCATCTGGTTTGAATGCCCGCCTTTTAACCCATTTAGCTTGGCACCTTCTGTTCGTTGTTTTGTTTGGGGGGGGGGGGGTTGCATAGTTTGGTTTGGTTGTTTTGTTGGGGTTTTGGCAGACTACAAGTCTGTTTTTCATACCAGTGTGTGTGGGCTTGGCCACCAAAAGCAAGAAATAATAGCAACACTATTAATGTGAGTAATGCAGTAATGAGAGCGGCTAATTGCTGAAGTGGTTAGCTCAGTCAGCCCATTCGCTCCTTGGAGGGTTGTTGTTACTGGCTCTGCCTAACAGGCCAGGAGCCACGGCTCAGCACATTTATCCAAAGAAACCCTACAGGAGATATTAAACCAAAAGCCAAATGAGACAAATTAGCCCACAGGAGAGGTGACATGGAGAGGCGTGGGGAGCGAAGGCCCTTTGCCCGGAAACGGTGTCAGCTGGTAGGGAAAGAGGCCAGGCCTTCGGCTTCCTCTTCACGGACGCCAGGCCCCGTGAAGTCATTCGTAACTCGTAAAGACATAAATAAGGAGAGGCAGGAAAGAGTGGCGAGTATCACGATAGGAGGGTAATTACGGGGAGCGATGGAGAATCCAGCCTCAGCAGCCCGACCCAAAGCAAAATCTCAAAAGACGGAGACCATGGTCCAGGGGATGGCAGGCTGGGGGGTTATTTTATGACTAGAGGCCCAGTACACAGATTCGTGCACCCGTGGGGTCCCTTGGCCTGGCCGGCAGGGATCAGGCCAAAACTGGCTCTCTGACATCCCCTGAGGGGTCCCGGATTGCAAGAGGGCGCAGGCCAGGCCGAGGGACCCCACCAGTGCACGATTGGGGCCAGGAAGGGACCGTGGGAGGGCTCCAGAGTGTGTCTGGCCCGTCTCGCCCAGTCCCGATCCTATCGGTTGGAGCATCTGCCCCCTAGTGATCAGTGCACGTTATAGCAACCGGTCGAATGGTCAGAGGGACAATTAGCATATTAGGCTTTTATATAGAGAGATTAGCATCATTGCAGAAGAGATAGGGAAGGTTGCATGATACCCATGGGTGGTGGGTGAAGGAGGTGGGAGAAATCGGGGTGGGGTGAGGCTCTCTGGGATTGGATATGGAGTAACATGGGGAGATGTATCTTTCTTTTGCATGTGGATGCGGGATCGTTAACCGGGAAAATGCATGGTTACCCAGCTCTGTGGGGGAAAGGTAACAGTGAGGAATGTTGGGGTCCCCTCCTCCCGGTATCCAGGCATTTATCCTGCAGCCTTGGAGAGGAGCTCCTGGGATAGTTCAGGTTGTTGTTATTCTAGAAGCACAAAACCCATGGACGGGGGCTGGCTCAAGGCCGAGGTGAAACCGGTCCCATAGGATATGACGTCCTGCAACAACCCACTCGATGAGGACTTTTCTATTTATTTATTTTTATATCTTTTTATTGATTTTTTTACAGAGAGGAAGGGGTAGGGATAGAGAGTTAGAAACATCGATGAGAGAGAAATATACATCAGCTGCCTCCTGCACGCCCCCTCCTGGGGATGTGCCTGCAACCAAGGTACATGCCCTTGACCGGAAGGAATCCAACCTGGGACCTTTCAGTCCGCAGGCTGATGCTCTATCCACCGAGCCAAACCGGCTAGGGCTGCTGGACCTCTGACAGCACACAGAACAGCCTCCCCTTGCGAGGAATTGCCCGGCCCCAATGCCAACAAGCTGAGACTGTCTCTTTCAGGGACTGAGATCTGCCTCTCGGCAAAAGTGAGGAGGTCTCGCTGAAACCCCTTTGGCTCAGTGGAAAGGGTGTCAGCCTGCGGACTGAAAGGTCCAGGGTTCGGTTCCGGTCAAGGGCATGTACCTTGGTTACGGGCACATCCCCAGGGTGTGTGTGGGGGGCGGGGGGAGGATGTACAGGAGGCAGCTGATCCATGTTTCTTTCTCATCAATGTTTCTAACTCTCTATTCCCTCTCCCTTCCTCTCTGTAAAAAAAAAAAAAAAAAAAAAAAAAAATGTATTTTAAAAAATAAATAAATAAAGTGAGGAGGCCTCAGTAAGAGCAGAATTGCTGTCGGGGGAGGGTAAGGAGCGAGGAAGGGAGAGAGAAAGGCGTGTCCAGAGGGAGAAACACGGTACTCTGCGGCAGGAGGAGAGTGTGAGAGAAACAGCGAGAGATGCATGGGAGAGAGACAGACCGTGGGGGGGAGGGGGGAAGGGACAGAAGATGGGTGCAGGGTGGACTGTTAACATCCTCCCTCTCTGTCCCTCCCTGTCTCTCTCTGTCCCTTCTGCCTACGTCTCCCTCTCTCCACCTCCCCACGTCTCTGCTTCTCTCTGCACCCCCTTTTCTCCGCGCTTCTCCCGCAGGGTGACTCCGGGGGCCCCGTGGTCTGCAACGGCACCCTGCAGGGCCTGGTGTCCTGGGGCGACTTCCCCTGCGCGCAGCCCGACAAGCCCGGCGTCTACACCAACCTCTGCATGTTCACCAAGTGGATCCGGGACACCATCCGCGCCAACTCCTGAGGCCGCCCAGGCCCCCGGCACGACCTCACGCTCCTTCCAGACCCCCCAACCCCTCCCCCATCCTTCCCCGAGGACGTAGAGGATGTGACCTCCAGCCCCCCAAGTCTCCAGGGCCTCCCTTCCCCAACCAGGGACTGACCCCAGCTCTGCAGCTGGCTCCCAGGGGGGGGCCTGCAAAGGCCAGAAATAAAGCGTCCAAGGAGAAGTGGACTCTGTGTGTGGTCTTCTTCCCCCCACCGCACACCCTCCCCGCCTCTCACAACTCCCTGGACCCCGGGCAGGGCAGCCGCTCCCTGCTGCGGGGCTGGCTCTGGGAGGCTATTTCCAAGGCAAGACCCAGGTCCTCTCCGGCTGCTGCCCACGTTTGTCCCAATGTGGAGCGAGTGTCTGACTGTCAGGTGCCGGGAACTGTCCCAAGGGCTGGGGGCACCTCAGCGGGCAAAGCACAGCAAATATTCCTGCCCCTTGGAGCTCACGCGCCAGGCAGAGAAGACAGAGCATAAGGAGACGGACAAACACATTCAGTATTAATTGCAAACGTGTGGATGACCCCAATCAAATGAGAATGGGGCACAAGAAAGGAGAGGGAGGCTGTCTATATTAGATTAGAGGCCTGGTGCACAAAATCCGTGCACTGGGTGGGGGCAGGGTCCCTCAGCCCCGCCTGCACCCTCTCGCAGTCTGGGAGCCCTTGGGCTCCCCCCACCACCACTGCGCTGCGCTGCGCTGGCCCGCTGTAAGAATAAGGGAATTCCTTGGGTCACGTGACCTCGCGCATCTTAGGGGAAATGGCGAACAACATACGTACATTGATGAACAGAAACAGACCCGGAGACAGAGAAGCAGCAATCAGACCGCCAAACCCCAGAGGGAAGGTAGGGGGCAAGGGGGAGAGATCAACCAAAGGACTTGTGTGCATGCAGATGAGCCTAACCAGTGGTCATGGACAACATGGGCATGCGTGGGGAGGGGTTTGGGATGGGAATGATTGGGGGGGGAGGGGGTGAGGACAATAATTATGTGATACCATAATCCAGGCATCTTCAAACTTTTTAAAGTGGGGGCCAGATCACGGTCCCTCAGAGAGCTGGAGGGCCAGACTATATGAACTACTAATTCCTACTGTAACACCTCGGCTGCGCTCACTGCCCAAAAAACCTGGCAGGCCGGATCAGACTCCTCTGCGGGCCGCATGTGGCCCGCGGGCCGTAGTTTGAAGACGCCTGCCATAATCAATAAAGAAATTTTTTTAAAAATTTGAGTTGCAGTTGTCATTCTGTTCCTCATGCATTACCCTCTGAGGCCAATGACCCTCCAGGGGGCCTATGACCCAGCTAAAGACACACACAAACACACACACACACACACACACACACATATATACCTGGGCTGTCACATGATCTGGTTCTCAGCCGCAAGCTATAAGCTGGAACCTGGTGGCTGGGTTTTCCTGGGAAGTTTTTGTTTTGCTGAGAAGCGGGAGGGTCTACACGAATCCATGCCCCAGTGGGGTCCCTCGGCCTGGCCTGTAGGATTGGGCCGAAACTGGCTCTCTGACATCCCTCTAGGGGTCACGGGTTTTGAGAGAGCACAGGCCAGGCCAAGGGACCCCACCAGGGCACCTTCGGGACTGGGGAGGGATGTGGGAGGTTGGCCAGCCGGGGAGAGACCACGGAAGGGCTCCAAGGCGGGTCCAGCCCATCTCACTCAGTCCCTATCGGCTGGACCCCAGCAGCAAGCCAATCTACCTGTCTGAGTGTCTGCTCCCGGTGGTCAGGGCATGCCATAGCAAGCAGCTGAGTGGCCTTCGCATATCATTAGCATATTACGCTCTGATTGGTTGAACAGATGACCGGACAAACTGGACTTAGCATATGAGGCTTTTATTATATAGGATGACTTTGTTTTTAGTTCAAAAAATAGAAAAAGATAAACTTAAGCCAAGATCGGTTTGGATCAGTGAATAGAGTGTCGGCCAGCGAAATTAAGGGTCCCAGGTTCAATTCCAGTCAAGGGCATGTACCTTGGTTGTGGGCACATCCCCATTAGGGGGTGTGCAGGAGGCAGCTGATGGATGTTTCTCTCTCTGATATTTCTAACTCTCTATCCCTTTCCCTTCCTCTCTGTAAAAAAAAAAAATCTATAAAATATATATTTAAAAAAAGAAAAGAAAAAGAAAAAAGATAGCCGAAACCAGTTTGGCTCAGTGAACAGAGTGAAAGGTCCCAGGTTCGATTCTGGTCAAGGGCATGTATCGATACCTTGGTTGTGGGCACATCCCCAGTGGGGGGTGTTTAAGAGGCAGCTGATTGATGATTTTCTCTCATCGATGTTTCTAACTCTCTATCCCTCTCTCTTTCTCTCTGTAAAAAAAAAAAAAAAAAAAAAAAAAAAAAAAAAAAAAAAATCAATAAAATCTATTTTTTTTTTAAAAAGAAAGATAAACTTAACTGTCTGACTTTCCAAGCTCACCACCCAATGTAATAGACTAATATGAGCCAATACTGATAATAATCCCCATATTCTTACGCCAAGCACTAACTCATTACGTACTCAAGGTCGCTCCTGTCTGCAGCAATAACTCACACCGAGCCCTTTGTAATCCCTGCAAACAAAGAGACTCGAGAAGTCTAAATATGAGACACTTCCTCTATTTCGGGGCTACGCCCAGCAAACGCCTCCTGATTAATTGGCTCATGAAGGCGTCTTGTATCTCGCCCGCTTACGATACGACAGCTTTCAGCGCCTGCTCTCGGCTTGGGCTGCCAGCCTCTGGCTGGACACGGGATCTGGCTACGGCCGCTGGTTGTAGAAGGAGAAGGCGGCGGGTAAACTGAGTCTCTCGGGAGGACACGCGGAGCGGAGGCCCCGTGCAGAGCGTTTCCGGGGAGGCTTGACTTCCTCCTCCTGTGTGTGTGTGTCTCTCCGGGATGGAGGCCGGCCCCGGGTGCCAGCGGGGACGGGGGCCTGGGAACAGAGTCTGTGAAGGGCGGAGAAGATCTGTGCGTTTCCTGCACGGGCGAGGCAGCTGGTAGAACACAGGGCTGCGGTGGTGCAAGACAGGAGCTTCTTGCTCATGAGATAGGAAGACGTGCTACAGAGCACGACTCACGGATCTAAAAAAATAAAAGGGTGGACAGCTGGATCGGTGATACAAAGGGGAGCAGGCCCTGGCCGTGTGGTGCCACTGGTTGGAGCATCATCCTGTGTGTGCACCGGAAAAAGGGTGGCAGGTTCGATTCCCCGGTCAGGACACCTACTCCGGTTGCGGGTTCGACCCCTGTTAGGGAGCATATGGGAGGCATCCGATCGATGTGTCTCTCTCTCTCTTTCTCTCTCTCTAAAAGTCCATAAAAACACATCCTCTGAGGAGGATTTTTTTTTCTTTTTCTAAAAAAAGGAGCTCAGAAAGAGACCCATGAGAACTCAATATACTATTATACAACACACATAAAATAGATAGAATAGCATATTTAAATTTAGCGGTTGTAAATTGTGCTGCTGTGAACAATGGAGTCGAGACCATAGGCTTAGCAAATGATTTAGGGAAAGCTGGCTCACGGTGTAAAGAAAAATAGGCCTGGGAAATAGAGTCGATAATATTGTAATAATCTATAATAATAAAAGCGTAATAAGCTCATCAGACCATATGTCCTTCCAGATGACCTTCCAGATGTCCTTCCTGGGACGAAGGGGTCCAGGCGGCCGCCCAGGGCTGTGAGGGAGAGATCGAGCGGCCGCCCAGGGCTGTGAGGGAGGGATCAAGCGGCCGCCCAGGGCTGTGAGGGAGGGATCAAGCAGCAGCGGCTGCAAAGGCCTACTTTTGCAAGGATTCCATGCATTGGGCCTCTAGTTACGTATGGTTCCAGGCGGAGATTAAACTTAGGTGTGGGGGGTGAACATTTTGTAAATTATATAAATACCCAACTACTATACTGTACACCTGAAACTAACTTATCCTGTCTAATAAAAGAGTAATATGCAAATTGATCGTCACTCCAACACACAAGATGGCTGCCCCCATGTGGACACAAGATGGCCACCACCAGATGGCCAGCAGGGGAGGGCAGGTGAGAGGGACCAGGCCTGCAAGGGAGGGCAGTTAGGGGTGACCAGGCTGGCAGATGAGGGAAGTTGGGGGGACTCAGCCTGCAGGGGAGGGCAGTTAGGGGCAAACAGGCTGGCAGGGGAGCAGTTAGGCATCAATCAGGCTGGCAGTGGAGTGGTTAGGGGGTGATCAGTCCTGGATTGTGAGAGGGATGTCTGACGGCCCATTTAGGCCCAGACAGGCCCTGGAACCCTCCCACAGTCCCTCCCCGCTGGCCAATCTCCCACATCCCTCCCCAGCACCAATCATGCACCAGTGGGGTCCCTCGGCCTGGCCTGCACCCTCTTGCAATCTGGGACCCCCCTCGGGGGATGTTGGAGAGCCAGTTTCGGCCTGATCCCACAGGCCAGGCCGAGGGACCCCACTGAATTCAGCAGGCCTCTAGTGTTTAAGAATGTTTCTGCCACCGAAACCGGTTTGGCTCAGTGGTAGAGCGTTGGTCTGCGGACTGAAAGGTCCCAGGTTGGATTCCAGTCAAGGGCATGTGCCTTGGTTGCAGGCACGTCCCCGGTGGGGGGTGTGCAGGAGGCAACTGGTGGATGTTTCTCTCTCATTGATGTTTCTAGCTCTCTATCCTCTCCCTTCCTCTCTGTAAAATATCAATAAAATTTTTTTTTTTTTTTTAAAGAATGTTTCTGTGCTGCCACCCATTCTGAGGAAGGATCTGGCTCCATTTCATCAGCGTGACTCACACCCTGTGACTCAGCAGTCTCTCTCCCGGCTCCCCATCCCAGGGAATGTCCTCCACACCCACCGGGAAGCACGCTGGAGGAGGTGCCTGGCCCGGTGCTTGGTGGAGGCTGGGAGCTGGTGGCCCATCCGCTCCGTCCCGCGGGGAATGCTGGGTACGTGTGTGGGCGTCCTTGTGGGGTTCGGTGCCGGGGGCAGGTGCATGGTCATAGCAACGTGGATGGGTCTTCAACACACAGCACTGTGTGGGAAGAGACTTAGTCCCTGATGGTATGGCTCAGTGGATAGAGCATCAGCCTTCAGACTGAAGGGTCCCGGGTTCGATTCCCAGGTCAAGGATCTGAGCTCTTGTTGCAGGCTCAGTCCCCAGTAGCGGGTGTGCAGGAGGCAGCCGAGCAATGAGGTTC